GCAAGCAAAGAAGGATACTAGGGGCTCTACGGGCCTGTGTGTGATTCTTGGTGGCTGCGGGACACTACTTGTGCTCACCACCTTGTACTGCACTTATGGGACTCGGTATGTCACCAAGTGATACTGCAGTGCTGGTATGTGAAAGACCAGGATGTACTAGGCCGCTGGTGCCCACCAGTTCACCAAAAGGTAGAGTGACACTAGTACTGGCACACTGCATATGAGAGTCATCATGCGATTGTAACATCTCAGCAACCTGGGAATGGGGTCGGGTACGCCTGATCTTAGCAGGGACCTCTTCTCCATCGTCTGAGCTATCTGTCAGGGTGCCGCTGCTGTCTACAGTTTTGTATTCTGAAGCTGATTGTGTCTGTCAGTGAGTCATCTCCTTCGCCCTCACCTGACATGCTCAGAATCCTGTAGGCCTCTTCACTAGAGTACCTTTCCAATGACATTTTGGCCACTAAATTTACAGGTACCTAGTGCGAGTCTCAGGGGGAAAAAGAGCACCTGGCTGTCGGCCTGCTTGAACCGCTACAAAAAAATTTACCAGCAAGTGATAACAGATCAGGCCTGATTCTGCAAACACTGCTGTTTGTGTGCAATGTATCAAGTGACCGTAACCTACTGACACTTGGTAGGGGGAAGGGGGGGAAGCGTAGGGATTAAACACAGGTGTTGGCAGGTGTCGGGGCTGATCACGCTAATGCTGCGTTTTTGGGGACACTCTACTAATGTGATCAAAGATATTGATCAGTTCAGACACTATACTAGCAATGGAGGTTTATTGTGTATGTGAGTTTGTTCCTGGCAATCAAAGGGTTAAATGTGATTACTGGTGTACTGACGGGCAATCTGATGCTATGTTGGAAGGACGCTAACTGGCGCGAATGCTATCTGAAGTCGCTGGTGACACTAATACAGTGATCAGCAAAAAAAATCTGTACCCTGTACTAATGACACTGGTGACTGGGCAGTGAAGGTGAAAACTGGGGGGGTGCGATCATGGCGTAAATGTGTCCAAAAGTCTTCTAACCATGTACGTGTGCTATTTTACTCGCTGTGTCATACATGTAACTGTAAACACCGGTACAGGAAGATCCCTGATGGGACAGGGATCGATCTTCCGACTTAAGCCGACCATCACTGGCCTAAATCGGATGATTGATCCCGACACCCGTGGTTACCCCCCCCCCCCCTTCCCCCGCGAAACCCGCGGGAGCGCGAATCACGTATATACGTGATATTAAGCACCCATGCCGCCCTGTAGCAGTATTTGTACTATAGGGTGGCGCGGAAGCGGTTAAACATGTCCAGTAAGAAAAATTTTAATCAAATTTTGTCAAATTTAGGCCAAAATGTATTCTGCGACATCTTTTTGTTAAAAAAAAAAAAAAAAAAAATCCCGATACGTGTAAATGAATTAGTTTACGTGGAAGTTATAGCGTTTACAAATGGCGATATAGATACTGGATTTTTTTTTTCTTTTTTACGAATAGTGGCGACGATCAGCGACTTAGCAGGACTGCGGTGGGCATTCTGACACTGGGGGGGAAACTGACTTGGTGTTACTGACATCCCCAGTGGCACCAATACAGTGATCAATGCTAAAAAAATAAAAAGCACTGACACTGTACTAATGGCACTGGGCAGGAAGGGGTTAACATGAGGGGCGATCAAAGGGTTAACTGTGCTGGGAGTGTTTTACTAGGGGGCGGGAGGGGTGTGCTTCACTGTAAGTACACTACTCTGGATGGCTGTGCACAGCCATCCAGCGCAGTGTGCCCAATCCAACAGGGAGAAGGACTGGGACCCGATGATTGACAGCCGTGGCCGCAAATGGCGTTGCGGGCAAGGTGCACACGCGGCTTACGCGTGCCCCGTACCCAGTGATGCAAAATCACATATATATACGTGATTTTGCGCACCCGTGCCGCCCTGTAGCAGTACTTCTGCTATAGGGCAGCATGGAAGCGGTTAATGGCTTATGCAAAAGGGTAAGTCAAAAAAGTGTGAAAAGAGATAAATTATTGCTTATTCTACAAAGATTGTACACAAACTGATCATAGTAAAAGTTAAAACTAATAGTTTTATAGTTTTCTATAATTCGAATAATGTTTTTAATGTTGTCAGTCGGCATATTTAAATTGGTTCTAAAAGCAGAAGTAATTTCTTTCTACCTTAATGCATTCTTTGCAACCAGTTAGCCCCCCCACCCTTATACTTACCTGTGCCCAAGTGATGTGCACGAGTGCAGCAGCGAGAGCCATTAAGAGAAAGAGAGGGGGGTGGGGCCGAGCCGCCTCTGTATCCCAATGGACACACAGCGACCTCGGGAGTGAGCACGGCACGGGTGCCCCCATAGGAAGTGGTTTACTATGGGGCAGTCGACAAGGGGGAGAGGCAAGAGTGCTGGCAGGGGACCCCTGTAGACCATTATCGGGGCTGCTCTGTGCTAAACTACTGCACAGAGCAGGTAAGTACAGGTGAAACTCAAAAAATTAGAATATCGTGCAAAAGTTCATTTATTTCAGTAATGCAGCTTAAAAGGTGAAACTAATATATGACTCATTACATGCAAAGCAAGATAGTTCAAGGCGTGATTTGTCATAATTGTGATGATTATGACTTACAGCTCATGAAAACCCCAAATCCACAATCTCAGAAAATTAGAATATTGTGAAAACGTGCAATATTCTAGGCTCAAAGTGTCCCACTCTAATCAGCTAATTAAGCCATAACACCTGCAAAGGGTTCTTGAGCCTTTAAATGGTCTCTCAGTCTGGTTCAGTAGGAATCACAATCATGGGAAACACTGCTGACCCGACAGTTGTGCAGAAAACCATCATTGACACCCTCCATAAGGAGGGAAAACCTCAAAAGGTAATTGCAAAAGAAGTTGGATGTTCCCAAAGTGCTGTATCAAAGCACATTAATAGAAAGTTATGTGGAAGGGAAAAGTGTGGAAGAAAAAGGTGCACAAGCAGCAGGGATGACTGCAGCCTGGAGAGGATTGTCAGGAAAAGGCCATTCAAAAGTGTTGGGGACTTTCACAAGGAGTGGACTGAGGCTGGAGTCAGTGCATCAAGAGCCACCACACACAGACGGATCCTGGACATGGGCTTCAAATGTCGTATTCCTCTTGTCAAGCCACTCCTGAGCAACAATGTCAGAAGCGTCTTACCTGGGCTAAAGAAAAACAGACTTGGTCTGTTGCTCAAAGTCCTCTTTTCTGATGACAGCAACTTTTGCATCTCATTTGGAAACCAAGAACCCAGAAGAAGAATGGAGAGGCACACACTGCAAAATGCTTGAAGTCCAGTGTGAAGTTTCCACAGTCTGTGTTGATTTGGGGAGCCATGACATCTGCCGGTGTTGGTCCACTGTGTTTCATTAAGTCCAGGGTCAACACAGCCGTCTACCAGGAGATTTTGAAGCACTTCATGCTTCCTTCCGCAGACAAGCTTTATGGGGATGCCGACTTCATTTTCCAGCACCTGCCCACACTGCCAAAAGCACCAAAACCTGGTTCAAGGACTGTGGGATTACTGTGCTTGATTGGCCAGCAACCCTCGCCCCCAACCCCTCCCCCCCCCCCCCCCCCAACACACTCTCCTGCGCGCCCCCGGTGATCTCTGTGATCACTGTGTCCTACGGCAGCCTTTTACCACATGATCAGCCATGTCCAGTGACACGCTGATCACTGGGAAATGCAATTGCTGGTTCTCGGCTGCACTTTCCTTACGCTGTCAAGAGTTCTCGGCAGTTGTCAGAGCAGGGATTCGGCACCGATCATCAGGGAACTGATGATCGGTGCCAAGCAGTGCCACCCGCCTGTGCCCACCAGTGCCACCCATCAGTGCAGCCAGCAGTGCCGCTAGTCAGTGCCCAGCAGTGCCGCCTATCAGTGCAGCCTCATCAACGCACAGCAGTGAAGGAGAAAAAATTACCTGTTTGCAAAATTTTATAATAGAAACAAAGAAACTTTTTTTTTTTTTTTTTTTTTTGGTGGTGACACTACTACTAGGGTGACAATATGTAAAAAAATAAATAAATTAAAAAAAAAAAAAAATCTAAACATTTTTTAAAAAAATTATAATTTTTGGTTATAAACTAATTTGACTTATTTTTATTTTTATTAAAAAGATAACGGAATAAATTTTGGCCAAGATTTATGATGAAATAATATTTATTTGCAAAATTTTATAAGAAAAACACTTTTTTTCAAAATTTTTGGACTTTTTCATTTACATAGCAAAAAAAATAAAAATCCCAGCGGTGAATAAATACCACCAAAATAAAGTTTTATCGGTCTCAAAAAAATGGTAAAAAAATTCATATGGGTATAGTGTTGCATGACCGCAAATTGGCCCTGGTCAGGAAGGGGGTAAAAGTGTCCGGACTGGAAGTGGTTAAACCTGAGACAGTTGAAACAGTTTGCACAAGAAGAGTAGGCCAAACTGCCTGTTGGAGGTTTCATTGAAAACTACAGAAATCGTTTGCCTATAAGTGTTGTGAAACAAATTTTTGTCCTTGCTCAAGTCTGATGTATATTAAATATGCAGAGTAACAATGAGGGATGTCCGTTAATTTTGACAGTTTCAAGGTATTTCAGAAATAAAAAATTGGCCCACGGCTGTATATGGTATTCTTAATTGTTTTTCCTCTGTTTGATATGAAGCTAGTTCTGTGGTATCTACATGATAGATGAGCTTATTTAGTAAGGGAGTGTAAAATGAAGTGATTGTGCAAAGGGCAGTAACTCACCAGCCAATTGTTACTATTGATCTTGATTTGGTAAACTGAAATCTGGTTGTTATGGATTACTGCACTTTTACATTGTGCACAGACTTATTAAATAATGTTGATGGTCTTCCTGACAAATGACGCTTCTCATTCTAATGTATGCTGATATGACTGCTGCTATCTGAGTTGCATCTATTTTACTCTGCTTCACATGTAAGGAACAGACTGTCACAGGCCTCAATGTTTTTCTGCAGGTTATGAGAAGTATAATTCCATCCGGGCTGATTCAGCTCTGTGTTTCCTGGAGAGAGTCGGAATGCCTGATGCAAAAGCAATTGCTGCAGAGCAGAGAGGGACAGATATGCTGGCAGATGGTGGTGATGGGTATGTTACAGTTTAAGCAGTATTATTCACTCAAAGTGAGACTTCATTTGGCTAAACTTATTTCACTTGTGCTTTTCCAGGGGAGACTTTGATCGAGAGGATGAAGATCCAGAATACAAACCGGCACGGCTTCCATTTAAAGATGATATGGATGTAAGCAGACCCTTGCTTCATAATACATACAGTGTTTAGATCAAACATGTATATTAAAATATTTTGACAAGATGGAAAGGGAACAAGAACCCTGACTGAGGAGCTTTAAAATGAAATTGAGTAATGTTTTAGTTGCAAAAAAGTGATTGCTTAAAACGTGTCTATCTCCTGCAGGAATTTGCAAACTCACCTCTAGAAGACAAAGAGGAATGCATGGAAATGGACGCGCAAGGTGAGAAATGTCTAATGACACTTGCTGAACAGTAATTGTTCCAGGCTGATGTGTTGAGTACCTATACTGGGGCGGACAAATCGGGGAAATAGATTCCTTCCTGATTCTTATGTTCAGTCCTTTCTGAGCCTGAAACCCTACAGGCAGGGGCGTATTTACCACAAGGCAAACAAGGCAGCTGCCAAGGGCGGCATTTTTCAAGGGCAGCACCGACCTCCCCCCCCCCTTCCCGGAAGACGGGACATATGTGGTACGGGGATCAGGTGGGATCTTAGAAAGGCTGCTGACTGCTGGTGTATGCAGAGCCCAACTCTTGTTCCCAGGGATGTCCGGAGCTGTGAAGGTGAGGAGGGGGGGTGTATGTTAGTGGAAGGCTCCCCGGGGGGGGGGGGGGGGCAGGGGTGTTATTGGTCAATACCAGGCTGTCCATGTCATGGGGGGGAGGGGTGTTGGTCGGTGTCAGGCTGTCTGTTGAGGGGGTGGGCTCCGATTTTTTTTTTTTATTTTTTGCCTAGGGCAGCACAAAACCAAAATTCACCACTGCCTACAGGCCACTAGAAAACTGGTAGATGATAGCAATTGTTTTTATTCATTTTTTTATGAAAGGTTTTAACCCTAAATAAAGGCAGCAAGAAGTTTATAGATGTGTTTACAGTTTGTACGCAGTTCATATAGACAGTTTCTTTTTGGTCATGAATATTGCAATTTATTTTATTTATTAAGTACGTATAGAGTGTCAACAATTTACTCAGGTCTTTGCAAATATATATTGTACATTCACATCAGTCCCTAACCCTCAAGGAGCATACAATCTAAGGTCCCTAACTCACATTCATACATACACACATTAGGGCCAATTTAGACAGGAGCCAATTTGGAGTGTGGGAGGAAACCGGAGTAGCCGAAGGAAACCTACGCAGGCACAGGCAAGAACAACATGCAAACTCTAGACAAGTAGTTCTATGGTTCTGATTCAACGACTTGGCCACTATGCTGACTTCTGAAGCATTCTCTTGTAGATTTGGTTTTGTGTATAAGTATTTGCATTGTCCATTAGCAATCAATTGGCATTAAATGCATTACTCTTCTAGTTGCCTGCTAAATCTTGGTTTTAACTTTAAGCCCAAGACTTCCCTCTAGATTTTAACCATTTGCCATTCATCTAGACATAGCCATGTTCTCTATATTCCTATATTGATGGAAATGTCTTTTGAGATGGAATTAATTCAAAACAGGCAAATGTTTGGTGTTTTATTTTTTCTCATTTGAATTCTACCTAGGGTTGTCTAGAACACCTTGTTTCTCTAAAATAGCATGTTACTTGTTTATAGGAGCTTAAAAATGATTACATGACTGTACGAAAATAATTCACAATAAATGTATTCTAATTTAAGCTGCAGAGAAGATGGGTGAAGGCAGCACAGAGATGGGCAAACTGTATTGGCCTCATACTTCAGCCCTTACTACCCGTCTGCGTCGTCTAATAACTGCCTACCAACGCAGTTATAAGCGCCCAGCCAGCAAATGAGGCAAGAGGCCCAGATGAAAACAGACCGAAGAAGAAGGCGTCCGCGGGAAGAAGTAAGGGCCTTGGAAGCAGAGAGGGAAGCGATTATAACAGAGAGACGGCAAAAGTAAGTCCTACATCATTTTTTTTTTTTTTCCCCTTTGTCCCTCCCACAAGTCTCTCTGTGTTGTATGTTAACCCGTTCTATAAACTTTTATAGATGGACAAGAAGGGAAGAGGCTGACTTCTATCGTGTAGTGTCCACTTTTGGAGTCGTTTTTGACCCTGTGAAACAAAATTTTGAGTGGAACCAGTTTAGAGCTTTTGCCCGTCTGGATAAAAAATCTGATGAGAGTCTGGAGAAGTATTTCAACTGCTTTGTGGCTATGTGCCGAAGAGTTTGCAGAATGTCCAGCAAGCCTGAAGATGGTGAGTGAGCAAAGTGACAAATCTGCAACTATCCATTTGAATTTTTTTTCCCTTATTTTCTCAAGTATTTGTTTTTACTTGACAGATCTTTGTGATCTTGCTACAGTAATTGAGCCCATAACAGAGGAACGTGCTTCTAGAACTCTTTATCGCATTGAACTTTTGCGAAAAATTCGGGAACAAGTTCTTCATAACCCCCAACTGAATGAGAGACTTAAACTCTGCCAGCCAAGCCTTGACCTTCCAGAATGGTGGGAATGTGGAAAACACGACAGAGACTTGTTGGTTGGTGCAGCAAAACATGGCGTTAGTAGGACAGATTATCATATTCTTAATGATCCTGACTTGTCTTTTTTGGAAGCTCATAGGAATTTTGCTCAAAACCGAGGTAGCACACATCCAAATATGCCCATCCTTCTACCACCTGGGTCTAGTTATAGTGTGACACCCCCCCTATAATGCCCTCTTCTCCTGTGCGGGATGAGAAAACTGGAGAACAGGAGGAAGTGAAATCTGAGAAAGTTGAAGAGGTGGACATTAAGGAAGAAGCAGAGATTAAAAAAGAACCTGTAGAGCCTGAGGAGAAACCTGTAAAACAGGAGATTGAATCTGAAACTGTTCCTGTTAAGGAGGAAATTAAAAACTCAGAGGTTACTCCGGATGCTGATCCAAAATCCATTTCTGAGAAGGGATCGGAAGAAGATGAAGAAAAGTTAGATGAGGATGATGATAAATCTGAAGAGTCTTCCCAGGCAGAAGGTAATTTTTATAATCTATAGCACAGTAGTATCCATCTTTCTTTCCAGGTATATAAATAACTGGTCTGGAATACAAGGACTTGGCTCAGCGTACAGTCATAGCTGAAGTTTACCAGTAGAGGACAAGCCTCTATACTCAACATTTAGGCATTGTATACATCTGTCCAGTCCTTTGCGGTGTATTGCACTAAAGTGGAACTTTAGTCAGAAAATTAAATCCTGCCAGATCAGTTCAGACTGGCCCCTTTTGCAGGTAAAGCTATGTAAAACATTAAAGATAAGTGCCTATACTGTTTAAAATCCAGTAATGCATGGTTTCGCTCTGCACATGCTCAGTTGCTCTGTCTTTTTAGGCACTGTGCTTGAATTTGTAAAGGCCGATCTGCTGACAGTCTAAAGATTTAATGCTGCTCAGGACTCTGGGATTCAGCAAAATTACATCCTCCGGGAAGCAGAAACAGGAACAATGCTGCAGGCAATTTACAGCACATGCTAATTTTGGTAGCATAATTATTAATGTGGAATGCATGTTTCTTGCTAAAAAAACATTATTTTTTATTATGTTTTTATGGGTAAAGTTCCACTTTAAGCCATTTCTCCAAGAGGAAAACCAGGGCTGTATCTCTCCATTAGAGACCCATACAGCAAAAAACCTGTCACAGGTTCTTGCCCTTCTCAGTGTTCTACAAAGTGGGGCCATGCTGGCTTCAATTATACCTTAAGACAGCTGAAGCCAATGTTATAGGTCAGATTCACATATTTGTTACAAATTCCATTTTAAATGAATCCTTTTGTGTGTTTTTACTAACAAATGTTATTGGAGACCACACACTCAATGACTTTATGGTTATATTTACTGTATCTGGACATCACTGCTTGAAACTGATATCTATGGTCACTTATTGATATTTTCCTGAATAAATACATTTTAGACCCTGCTTATGAATGTTAGGCAGTCAATACAGTGTTTGTATTGACACCTGTGTTCCCCATAGACATCAATTATATCTGGAGTGAAGTATGAGCCTTCTGTAGCCCTGGATGCTGTTAACAGCACTGAATTTATTAACACACATGAGCCCTAATGTCTAAAAAAAAAAAAAAAAAACTTTTATATTAACATGTTTGTAAAGGCAAGATATTTTTTTTTTACTTTAATCACTTCAAGTCCGGACACTTTCACCCACTTCCAGTCCAGGCCAATTTTCAGCTTTCAGCGCTATCACACTTTGAATGACAATTGCGCAGTCATGCAACACTGTACCCATATGACATTTTTGATACAGATTAAACTTTTATTTTTGTGGTATTTATTCACCACTGGGATTTTTATTTTTTTTTGCTAAATAAATGAAAGACCAAAACATTTTTTGAAAAAGTGTTTTTGTTATACAATTTTGCAAATAAATAATCTTTCTTCACAAATCTTGGCCAAAATGTATTCAGATATCTTTTTGGTAAAAACAATAACCCAAATTAGTTTATACATAAAAAAAAAAAATTATTTTTGTTTACATTTTTTTTATTTTTTTTATATTTATGTATTTGTTTTTTACATACTGTCACTCTAGCAGTACAGTGTCACCATAGCGACACTGTACTACTTGAGGGGGGGTGACAAATTTTTTTTTTTCCCTGCGCTGATTGCTTTTACACCCATAAAAGCTGTAAAAGCAATCATTTCTATTTCTCTCTGGCTGCATTCCTGCAGCCATTGAGAAATACTGTGAGAGCATTTTGGCATTTAAGGAATGACTTAGATTTTATTATTTGAGAATGAGTAATTAAATGCAAGTCTCTACTTCCACTTTAAATAATTTCATCAGAATTCAGTTTCAGGAACAAAAACAGGAATTAAACTATATTACCTAATGTTTGTGGACACATGACCATCATGTCTATATGAGCTTGTTGGACATCCCTACCCAAAATCATGGGCAGCATAATGGAGTTGTCCTCCCTTCAATGCTATAACATATTCTATACTGCTGAAAAGGCTTTACACAAGATTTTTGAGTGTGCCTGTGGGAATTTGTTCCCATTTAGCCAAAATAACATTTTCGAGGTCAGCTACAGATGTTGAACTAGATGACCTGGCTTGAAGTTAGCATTCCAATTCTTCCTAAAATTGTTCAGGTCAGGGCACTGTGCAATCCACTTGTGTACCTCTACATGAAAATTGTCAAACTTGTCTTTGGACTTTGTGCACAGAGGCACAGTCATGTTGCAACAGAAAAGAACCTTCCCCAAACTGTTGCCACAAGGTTGGAACCACGTAATTATCTAGAATGTCTTTTTATGCTGTAGCATAAACAGTATCATTCACTGGAAACATCTGAGTGTGATAGTTTTGGGACTGTGTCCACATACTTTTGCCCATGTAGTTTACATAATATAGCTTCTTTTAATTTAAAAACTTGAGTCCTAAAAATACTACTTTGTGCTGTTATCAGAAACCTAACTAGCCTTTGAAATCCTATTTGGCATACGTTCTTGACTCATATGGAGTTGCTCTCTATTTTCCTTCACACATATTAATGTATTGTTTTCACTGCAGCCGGGATAGCTTCTCAGGACAAAAACTTTGACGAGGAAAGCAATGCCTCGTTGAGTACTGCACGTGATGAAACACGAGATGGCTTTTTCCTGGAAGACTGTGAGCCGTCCGGGCTTCATATGCTGCGAGAGAGGACCTTCTCATTCTCCTTCTGGCCTAAGGTTGGTTATGGTTTTCCCTTTTGCTGATATACATTATATTCCATATTGGCAACTGTGATGGGCGCTATGTATGTTTTAGATTATAGTAAAGAAAAAAAAGATTCCTAATCACCATGACATGGCCATCTGGTTATAAAAACAAGACACTAATAGGCTTATTCCTGTGGAAAGGAGGCGGTTTGCAGCAGCTGTTGTGTTCTGGTTGTGGTCTTTGAGCAGTGTCTGCGTTTTTTTTTTTTTTTTTCTTTTGTAGCTTTTTCTCAAACACAAACAATACAGTGACCATGTAGACTTGGCATTAATAGACATGCACAGTAAGGCTTAGTTATGTATATTATTAATGCACAGCTTGCCATCCAGATTTCCTGTTGAAGAGGAGCACATGAAGCACACCTTACTGCATTAAGACTTTTTATTTTAGTGGTGTTTTTTTTAAATGAAGTCCACTGCTTCATTGTAAGTGATGTGGAATGAATATTGACATTCTTTAGATGTGGGGGAAGTTTTCATAATGTTGAACTTTATTAACTGTGACGCTAATGAGGAACCATTTAGAAGGCTGGGCCTGTCTACTTTGGAGAGCAGTGGAGATGGCTAGATACTGGAAGCAGATGTTGTTTCTTTCTTTGCCCACCAGCTGATGATTAGAGAAAACAATGCACTACAGCCTGAAACAGTAGGAGTTCAGCATATATGCAGACACTGCAGACTATTTTACCCCCTGCAGAAACTCTTCTTTTGTCTGCTTGGTGCTCCAATCTGAAGGGTGGGGGAGTTGTTACACTTATACAGGTTAAATGGAAAGCAAAAAGACTTTGTTCACTCTTTAGCTGAAAGCCAAGCAAGCGTTTGAGTTTATCAATGCAAAGACATTAAACTATTCTGAGTGCAGCTATTTTCCTAATTAGTTATGTCATATGGGTTTTCTTTCTCCTTGAATGATGCAGGATCGTGTGATGATCAACCGATTAGACCACATCTGTGAGACTGTGCTGAAAGGAAAGTGGCCAGTAAACAGACGCCAGATGTTTGAGTTCCCCGGGCTCATCCCTGGATACACACCAACTGCCATGGACAGCCCGATGCAGAAGAGAAGCTTTGCTGAGCTCTCCATGGTGGCCCAGGGCAACTTCAGTGGAAGTGAAGAGATCACTGCTTCCCCACAACTGTCTCAGGCAAGATGCATTAACTAGTCATATACTGGTTTTCAACTGCTATATGCTCTTTCACAGAAGACTCCCAAACAGTTATCAAAGAGAAAAAAAGTCCTCAAATGCAAAGCATAGAGTCACTGTTAACCCATGGTATTAATTTTAAATATATGTTCATGTTAGATTGCTGATTGATTGCTAAAAGCTGCAACTAGACTTGCAGTGGAGGTGCTTGTCCAGTACTTGGTTAAGTAGGATAGGAAGATACTAAAGCCAAGCATACGTCTTCTTTTTTTTTTTTTATTTTCAATCAGTGGGCTGAATTGAAAAAACAAAACAAAAGGGATAATCTTCCCATCCACACATTCGATCAGTAGATAGACTTTGTACAACCAGCCTTTCCATACATGGATCGAAATTCGTCCAGCTGAATCTTGATCCACATGTGGCCGCCCTTAGACTTGTTCACGCGAGGAAGAAATTATACACCATGTGGTGCTGTTCATGAGTATTTAATAAAACTTGCAGGAGGTGGAGCACTGTAAAACAAAGTTTGCAAAACTGCAGTCTCTGAAAAGTGTGGCTTTCCTGCTGTCCACTAGCCAGCCATTTTAAGACCTTGTAGGTGAGAGCATCACCAGTTTATACACACTTTGCTAATTATAATGGATCTTATCTAAACAGTTTTCTTTTGTCACAGTCATACATTTTCAACCAAGGAAAAGAAGTCTGTTTCTAGTTAGGACAGCACCGTTCCTATGTCCAACATTTTAACAGATCAGTCCCATTGTTTTTTTTTATGTTTTTTTAGGAAACTCATAAAAGAAACATTTAGGCAGCTATTGCTGACTTCTTATTCAAAAATGCTAGATGCCTGGTTGTCATTATGATGCATTGACTTTAGTAATTTTAAATAAAGAAGTGGGTCACTTCTTAACCTAATTTGCTGCATGCTTGTTCTAGGTCTGTGTTTCATGCGCTGAAGCTAGACAGTCATGCAATAAGTATTGTTATTTAGGAGACCAACAATGACAGCCCACATGACAGGTGTACTTTTAAATTTACATTCTCTATATATTTAGTAAATGATGGGCACATAGTGTTCCAAAGCAGATACCTTAATGTTGCCAAGCATGAATGGGTAATGCCTGAATTAGTGTTTTGAAGGAAATAGTCTGCATTAAACTTTCGGGTGACATACTATTAGTATTAAAATTAGTGCGGGGCAGATGAGCAGAGTTTAAGCATCATATATATAAATAGATCTTATTACAAGCTAAAGGGTAATTTCTAAGCTTATAGTGACTGTTTGCTGGTTTACCAAAGGGGAAAACTTGACTTTGGGAGGCATATTTTTGTCACATGTGTCCAATTTTCCCTCTCATGACGAGATTAGGTAGAGGTATTGCATACAAATATAGTATGTAATAAAATGAAGTAGCCATGGTGTACAATCCAGTTTTACATTTTGTCAAGAAATATCTGATAGCTATGAATTACTGCTCATTTTTGCATATTACTCTTTGCCTGTGCTTAATGTACATTACATGAGCTAGTCATAGGCTTTCAGTGTTCTTCTGAACTGAAAAATAGATGTTGTCAAACTAGCCATTCAGTGCTTGTTGGACAAGGGCATGCTCAGATTAGATCTTGGGATCCTTCAAATATACCCAAAACCATTTTATATTCCCTTTTAAACTCTAACTTGATATATTTGCCTTTTGGATTCAGGAAAGCGCTATGAGTTTGTCAGTACCTCGTCAGCGAAGGCGGCGGAGGAGGAAGATTGAGGTTGAAGCAGAACGAGCTGCAAAGAGGAGGAATCTAATGGAAATGGTGGCTCAGTTGCGTGGATCGCAGATGGGAGCAGAAAATGGACAAGAGAAAGTTGTGGATTTATCAAATGCCTCCAGGGAGGCTACAAGTTCTACCTCAAATTTTTCATCTCTTACTCCTAAGTTTATCTTGCCTAATTCCTCCACCCCTGTCTCTGATGCCTTTAAAACACAAATGGAGCGACTGCAGGCAGGTCTTTCTTGCACGCCGACTAGGCATCTCCTCAACGGTTCTCTAATAGATGGAGAGCCTCCAATGAAGAGGAGAAGAGGAAGAAGGAAAAACGTAGAAGGTCTTGATCTATTGTTCATGAGCAACAGACGGACTTCCTTATCTACGGTAAGAAAATGACACACTGCAGATTTGCATGAAATGAATAAAATAGCCCTACATACATTATTTATAGCTTCTTCAGATATTTGTAACGTTCGGTATACTGAAGTTTAGGTATACCAAAGATTTGAATCTGTTTATGCATTTGCATTGCTTCATGAATTTTGATGCTCCTTCCTATTTGCGTTTAAATATTTTTTGTTTTTTTTCATGTCTGTTACCAGCATGTCTGTTTCTAAAAAGATATAGGAAAAAAAATGGCTGCACTGAAAAATGATTGTTATTTTTGGGTAGTTGGTCAGGGATACATATTTTGTTGTGCTCTTGAGTAAAAGAACTTTCCCTTTTGGGTTTATTTGTTTTTTCTTTACCTTTTATTGCCTGTCCTAACCTGCTTCTATACTGATGACATTGACTAAAGTCCATTCCAGTGAACCTTCCAAAATATTCAAGCATGAAGGTTATTTTGGATTGTGTACATTTACATTATTGACAGAATTAGGCCATACAAACTGTGTTAATTAAACCTGCACTAGAGTATCTCTTTAATTGTACAAGCACCTTGACAAAGGATTCTATCTTAGTATGGTGCTGGATATGCTATGTTCCATGAAGCTACCTTGGTGAGCCAAGATGGGAATACAAATCCCAGGAAATTACATGTACAAGTTTAATACTGTTGTCATGGTTGCAAGTAAAAGAAATATAATGGTTTTGGAGAAGTAAGCAAAAAGGTCATGGCTAGGTGTTGATCAATACAGGCAATCTTAATCACTTTATTAGCTGTGCCCATTGGGTAGATTTTTTTTTTTTTCATTTACTGTCTTGTATACACAACAGGAAGTGGTGGAAATCACCTCCCTTCCTTAGTTGATTGTCATCACAAGAAGTGTCCCCATATAAAAAAATATCCTCACTATTCCTGTTCTTATGACATTTCAAAATTTTGAGGTTTCTCCTAACTTTTAATCCTGTTGACTGCTCACCAGAACAAATAGAGAGAGAATCTCCCTACTTGAGGACATAAGCAGCAGAAAAATCAACTGACATACGTTCTAATCTCTCACCATTCTATCCAAAGCTAAAAAGTTTTTGACTTTGGGTGGTTTTTAAAATTGGTGTCCAGAGATCTCAGTAGACCAAAAAGATGGTTTGTAGTAATGTATAAGCAATCTTTGCTCATATGGATTGGCGGCATTGTTTTCCTTTTGTCTCTATAGGAAGATACCGATATGACCAAAGCATATGAGGATGATATTGAAACACCACCAGCAAGAAACATTCCATCTCCCGGGCAGCTGGAACCAGAGACCCGGATCCCTGTCATTAACCTAGAAGATGGGACCAGACTAGTTGGGGAGGATGCTCCCAAAAATAAGGACTTGGTTGAATGGTTGAAACTGCATCCTACTTACACTGTCGATATGCCAAGTTATGTACCAGTAAGTACAATGAACAGGAGAACATTTGTCATGTTGTGTAATAAATAATGAAGCCGGTTTTAACCAAAGACGTTCTCTATCTTCACAGAAGAGCGCGGATATGTTGTTCTCCCCATTTCAAAAACCTAAACAGAAGCGTCACAGATGCCGGAATCCTAACAAGCTGGATATTAACACATTAACGGGAGATGAAAGAGTGCCTGTAGTAAATAAGCGCAATGGCAAAAAGGTAAAATTTTCAGAAAAGAGTATTTTAAACACGCATAAAGCTAATGGAGAGTGTTTTTAAATATTTTTAGCTTCGTAAAAACAATTAGTCTCTTCTAAGGAATTTTGAACGGGGAAAGTGCATTTTACCAGCATTATGTTTTGTTTTTTGTTTTTTTTTTTTTATCCATACAAGTTGTTTTATGTTTTCAGTAGATAGTTTTAGCAGTTTGTACTGCTCACCAGTATTTAAAGCACAGAACGCACCATATTCCTCTTGCTGTAAAAGTGCCAATAGTTATACAAGGAATTCTGCATGTATCTGCTATAAGTGACAAGCAGCACGTTTTTTATATACTCTGTGTAAGTTAAATTAAACCAAAACTCTAAGCTGTTTGCAGTGTTATTGGCATACTTTTTTAAATATATTGTGAATATATGCTTAAATATTACCAGTACCTATTTTTTGTTCTTTAAGATGGGTGGTGCAATGGCTCCTCCAATGCGGGATCTTCCTCGCTGGTTAGAAGAAAACCCTGAATTTGCTGTTGCTCCAGATTGGACGGACATAGTTAAGCAGTCTGTAAGTATTATCTAGTGCCACAGAATGCTCAGTGTATCAAACTATGTCTTTGGGGGCGATTTTGTAAAGCAGAAACTTTCACTCTTATTCTTTTTGTCCACTTCAAATAAAGCATTTTTTTTAAATATATAAAATCCGTTGAACTTGATTTGGAATTTAAAGACCTGCTATAGTAAGAATCTGAATAAATTGTCCTTTTTTGGTTACGTGACATTTCCAGTTGAAGTTATGCATATTTTTGCCTACAGATAAAAATGGGACATCTTAGGCCAACTATGTCCTTTTTAAATGTAAACCATTGAGGTACCTTTATAGAAAGAGGTGAATGATCACATTCTGATCATTCATTGTTGTCATGCCACTGGGGATTTATTTTTCTTTACAGATGCTATATATAAAGTTGATTTGCTCACTTCTAATGTGATTCCATTATTAGTGTTCAACTACTTCAATGTGGGGAACCCCAGTGTTTGCAAAATCAGAGATTTTGCTGCCTGCTTATCCACATTAGACTAATGGTAAATCACTAAAGCAATGTGACATTATTTATTTGTGGACTTAATACACCAAAAGTTGATCATTTTGAGAAAATTTTCTTTTTTGACTCTTTTTTTTTTACGCTTTCTTCAGTTTTGTAAACCTGAGCTTTTTATTGCTGTCTATCTCACAAATGAGATTTGCTTCACTTCCTGTCTTGTCTAAAATAAAGGCCTCATGCACAAAGGGCATTTTTGCAGCCAATTTAAGGGGCGTCAAGTGTTTTTTTTTTTTTTTTTTTTTATAGCTTCCAAACGCCCCTTCATATTATCCTATGTGTCCATGCATACATAGACTTTTAGAAGCTTTTAGTGGCAGGGGCTTTTAGGACATGTAAAAAAAACCCACTGCAATTGCGTCTAGGCGCAGCAGCGGTTTGTTAGAAAAAAACTCTTGATGCATCTAAAAGCGTGTTAACGCTTGAGTGTTAATGCACTTCAATGGCCAGACTAAATTGTTGTTCTGGCCAGTGAAATGAATTAACGCCTGAGCACTTCATGCCTGTAAACACTCCTAAACGCTTGTAAAACTGATAGACACTTTTACAAGCATCAGGCATTTTGTTCTGCCAAAACACTGCTGCTAAGAGGAGGAGCATTTTTAAAATGTCCTGTGTGAATGAGGCCTAAATTGGAAGTGTGGGGAATTCTCCCAAATCGACCCCAACAGTGAAGAGTTGCGATTCTAACCCTTTCAAGTCTATCCATAACTTAAGATTTAGTTGGAGCTGGATTTTAACCTTGATCATGAGTGTCATTAAATCCTATGTATAGAGATAAAATTGTCATGTATTTGAAAGCTAATTTAAAGTGGAGTTCCACCCAAAAGGGGAAGTTCCGCTTTACAGATTGGTCCCCCGCTCTCCATTAAGGATTGGCACCTTTGGGGAGCGGGTGGGAACGGGTACCAGAATTTGACAGGTACCCGCTCCCACTTCCGCTGTGATCGCCTAGGCGATCGGAAGCGGAAGTTGTCCTACCCTCCCTCCCCGAAGTCTTGTGGGATACGTGACAGGTCCCAGAAGATGACGGGGCCATTCAGCTGTCACAGCCGGGTGCCCACACTGAAGATGCCGGCACCTGGAATACAGGACGGCCGGTGAAACGGGCTCGTGGGACAGGTGAGTGGCTGTTTTTTAAAAGTCAGCAGCTACAGTTTTTGTAGCAGCTGACTTTTATTTTTTTACAGAGTGAGTGGAACGCCGCTTTATGTAATTTGTGATTTTGTACACAATGACAGTATCCCTTTTTGTTTCTTAGGGTTTTGTACCGGAGTCAATGTTTGATCGTCTTCTCACTGGACCTGTTGTAAGAGAGGAGGGAGCCAGCCGAAGAGGGAGAAGGCCAAAAAGTGAAATTGCCAAAGCAGCTGCAGCAGCTGCTGCCGCTGCTGCAGCCTCGACATCTGGAATCAATCCACTGTTGATGAATAGCCTCTTTGCTGGAATGGATCTTGCTAGTCTTCAGAATCTTCAGAACCTGCAGTCTCTCCAGCTTGCTGGTCTTATGGGGTTCCCTCCAGGCCTTGCAACAGCTGCTGCTGCTGGAGGGGATGCTAAAAATCCTGCTGCCATGCTGCCTCTGATGCTGCCAGGTATGGCAGGTCTGCCCAACATGTTTGGTCTTGGTGGGCTCTTAAATAACCCCTTAACAGCTGGCGGCGGTGGTAATACTACTACAACTTCAAGTCAAGGAGAATCTGAAGATGGCACTTCAAAGTCTGATGAGAAAAAGACAGAAACTGACGAGGATGGCAAAGACTCTGAGAAAACTACAGACACTGCTTCTGCTACTGACTCTGTTGCTGCTGCTGCTACTACTGCAGCTGGATTGGCTGCAAATCCTCTGGCCTTCAGCCCCTTCCTACTATCCACCATGGCTCCAGGCCTTTTCTACCCCTCCATGTTTCTACCTCCAGGGCTAGGAGGACTGACACTGCCTGGTTTTCCATCACTAGCTGGACTTCAGAGTACTGTAAGCTCTAGTGAGGAAAAGGCCACTGACAAAGGGGAAACCGAGAACCAGGAAGCCAGCGATGCAGACGAGACCCTGGACAAAACCGCAGACTCATCCGTTTTGGAAGATGACATAGCACATGAAGAAGAATTAGACTCACCCGAAGCCGGGGAGGAGAACGACAAGGACAAATAACGGTCTCAGTTACAGTGTTCTAAACTTTTTCAAGTGGTAGTCCTACTGTTTACACTCACAGTAAATGTCCATAGTTTTTATAAGCTGTTCTGTAAAATAGTGTAGCAAAAAAGAAAAAAAGGAAAAAGTCCAAGTCATGTCACACGGATGTGTCAAAAAAGGTATTTTGGTCATTAAGTATTGTGCAGTGCATTATTTATAATTTCTAGGAAAAAGTTTTGGAGAATTAATTTTTTTTTTCTAAAGGAAATTGACATAATGCTCTGCAGCTCTTTATTTTTATTATTATTATTTTTTTTTACCGTTGGTATTACGAAGCAGCAATTTTGTTTGAAATCATGGTGCAAAAACGAAGGACAGGCTGCTTTAAGGAATTATGAAGGATTTATTTTTTTTTTTTTTTTTTTTTATTTATCTTTTTTTTTCTTTTTTTTTTGCTGTGAAGGTCAAGATTTTTTTTTTTCCTACATATCAATTTTTTTTTTTTGACTGTATATGAGGGTTCCACACACACAACCATTTCAGACAATCTCCACAACATAGAACGTCTCAATCTGGAGGCACAGCAATACAAGGCAGCTGTTGAATGTGAAACGCTATCCTGTATTTTTTTTTTTCCTCTTTTGAACACACTCACTGCGGAAGTCATTACAGGACAAAACTACAGTTAAGTCGTCTCATGATTTTATAATGCACTGGTTGAAACATAAAATTTAAAATCAGGTACCTTTTTTTTTTTTTTTTTTTTTTTTTGTTTTGGGTTTTTTTTTTTCTCCTTTTTATTTTTAATTTAAAGGATGGACTTTGTTACGTTAGCCACAAAGCTAAACAGCATTACCTCAACTCTAAACTAGCCTTGAAGTTTACAGACATGACTTTGTAAATGTTTGTGTTTTTTTCCTTTTCTCTTTTTTTGTGTTTCTTTTTTTTTTTTGGAAAACTGCTATCATGTAAGATAAACTGTAAATTGCTGCCAACAGTAGTAATGATGCTTTTAATAAAAGTGATCCATGAGATGCAGTGATGTAATTAGAAATAACGTAGAAAGTGTCTAGGGAAACCAAATCAGAACTGGTGTACACCACTTTATATTTTGTATTCACAATAGAAGCAAATACAGTATTATGGCTTTTGTACATCCTTCTTTGATATTTTTCAAGCCGGTTGATGGGGGGAGGGAAAAAAAAAAAAGCTTTCGAGAACTGCTGCACAGGAGTGTGGGGGAAGGGACACAAATGGAGTTGCTTTGAATATACCAGCTTTGCTACCTTGATAAACAATGACACCACTCTCTTTCCAACCTTGCTAACCTGAGAGCTCTTTAGAAAACAAAAGGTCTGCACGGGGAGAATGAGAAGTCTTAGCAACAAAAGGGGCAAAAGAAAAATGAGGCTTTTATAGGCACAATATGTAGGTCATTTATCTGTGGTTAATGGGTAGAAAAACAATGTAATGGTGTCAATGAGAGACGACTCTGTGGTACTCTGTAGACTACAGCTTGCCTTGCCAGCAAGGGTTGTGCCAAATAAACACAAAATGAGAACTAACCTAGTTTTGGGACATCAGAAGCTTTCCAGAAGATGATTGCATTTTCAGCCTGGTTTGACCTTTGGCATTCTCTATGTAATATTGTTCAGATCCTTACTACCATGTGAGAGTGCGGAGCCTGCATTATTGCCACGTATGAAAAGTCTTATTTATTTATTACAGCCTTTTCCAGCATTGCAGGGACAGATACAGTGAGATCGGGGCACCAGCGTTGCTCTTAAATATAACAACCAATTAGTTTGTTGTTGAAGGAAACTTATATGGGGAAAACATGTAAGCTGCCATTGCTGAACTTCTTTGGAAAAGGTTGTAGGGCTGTTATGACTTCCATAATTTAAGTGTGACCTTATACCAGTATGCAGATCTGCAATTCTGAGATTGCTTTGACTTGCTGTTTGCTTGTGCTGGGTCAGTGACTGATTAAGTAATGAAGACATAGTTAGCCAGGCAACTAGCATGTTCAAAAGGAGGTCAGCCATGACATACTCCATATTTCTCTCAGTGCTGGCTTTCTTTCAGTAAAAAAGGTCTGGTCACTTCTGTGTTCTCTGCTGGGCCCCCCTTTGTCAGCTAGCAATCACAAGCCCTCTCCACCCACAGATGGTCTTCAGGGAGCATATTTAAGGAGACCTAGGCTAAGAGAAATGTACCAGCAGCCATTACTGAACTTTGTTTCCTGGCCATTTTTCTTTGTGAAAATGTTACCAGAGCCTTCCTGCCATTCTGATCTGGTAGCTTCAGTATTAGCTTTAATAATATGGAAGCCTATCACTGGCTGCTAATGTTGCTAGCAGGGTCAGGGCTGCATCTGTTGCCACCGTCCCAGTATCGCCACTTCCCGACAAGGACGTGTGTGTGTGTGTGTGTGTGTGTGTGTGTGTGTGTGTGTGTGTGTGTATACGCACAGCGGTCGGGCAACATTTAAAGACTCTGCAAGTACAAAAAATACCTGTTGTGCCAAAAATGCACTGCACTCTAAAGTGTGTTTCACAACAATGAAATTTAAGGTTTTGTCCATTTTGCAGTGCTTTTCACATGCGTTCTTGATGCATTTTTTTTTTTCTTTTTGGGCCAACTTTTGCTGAGCAGATTAAAAATGCAAAGCATGTCAAATACACACTACATTAATTTTTTGCAGAGTCTTCATTGAACCAAAAACATATTCTGTGTTTTTTTAAAAAAAAAAAAAGTCCCTGACCCTTTCCAAGAACGCAGTGGCTCAGAAAAGTATGTGAACGTGTCCCATAGGAAACCATATTAAACGGAGTGTAGTGTGTTTCTGCTAAAATAACTAAAAAACACATTGATGTGAACCAGGCTTTAGGTCCTATTGTGGGCTGACACCACACAACATTTTTGTGGACAGTGTCGTCCCTGCTTTTTTGATAAATTCTCTTTACTGCTTCTACTGTCAGATCTTCACAACATAGGCTAATCCTTCTAATCCAAGATAAGAACTAGGAGGAATGTTTAAGTGGACACAAGAAAAGTGGAAAGGACACAGGACAGCTATGAATTTCTGACGAGATCAACAGGCTTTATTTTTTATTTATTTTTATTAATAGTCAAAAAAAATATAACCATGTTTCCAGTGGATTATTTAACAGACCCAAAGATGTCAAATAAGAAAAGTTTATTCGGGTTTTATTCACTTTAAAGCTGAGTGCCAGTCATTTTGTGTGTTACAAAAGCTACAAAACTGTAGTTGCCGACTCTTAATAAACACACCCTCGCCTGTCCCAGGATCCAGCGATGTGCTCGCCTGCACCTTCCCTTCTCTCTCTCTCCTCCCCCTGGTGCCAGCATCTCAACTGTGGGCACCCGGCTGTGGCAGCTTGTGGATTCATAGCCAGGTGCCCATTGCGCATGCACAAGTCACACTATGCCTCCTGAATGGTCCGGCATTTCACAGGTCCCAGAAGACTGGGTAGAGCTGAACTTAAGGTTCAGTTCGCTGTGGTGAACTGAGCCGGAAGTGGGAATGGTTACCTGTCAAAACCAGGTACCCACTCCACCCAAAAAAGGGCCAAATGTGGCAGGGTAGGAGGCAGACAAGCGGAGCTTTCCCCTATTGGGTGGAACTCAGTTTCACTGCATTGTAACGCTTTGCAGTGGGAACACTTTTTTTTTTTTTTTTTTTTTTTTTTTTTTTTTTATGAAATGTCACACAGTTGATTTAAGTGGTTTCTGGATTGTCAGTGAATTGCCTCATGCTATACTGTGTTGAAAAAGAAAAAAAGTAGTAGACCAGGCATTTTGCCTTGTATTGTGATGGGACAGCACTGGAATAGCCACCCAACACAGTCCCGTCTCACCTGGTGTGAATGGACCCTTAAACTTGTTGAAAGCGGCTTACAGCACAAGTCGGTGGTCCCTGTAATATTTCTGTTCAACATTCCCACATTGGAACTGATTGGCACTGCAATTGTTTTCTGCTGCAGGAGCACCGTGCAGGACTTTCCACTGAAAAAATTTAATTGGTGCCTGTGTATAGGAACAACTTAACACTTCTTTCTCCTCCCTTGACTCCTCCCAATCTCTAAAATTGCTTTTTGCTCTTATGCCAGCATTACATATTTTAGATTTCAAGGTATCATAGCAGGAGTTTCCTTTTATTCATATTTTTTTAATTTTTGTGATTGTTTCTAATAAATCAAAATCATTTGATTTCAATGTGTGTAGCTGTCAGTAAACTTCATCCCCCAAAAACTGAACGCTTTTAAGGTAAGTGTGCAAGATCAACTTGATGTGAATAAATGTGTTAATATTTTAAAGACCTTATTTCTATATACTGTATAATTTCTAAATATATACAGTTAGGTATATATATTTGGACACAGGCACAATTTGTTAGTTTTTTTTTTTCAGGTATTTACCAAAACATATTCAAGCTATAGTTCTATAATGGATATACAAATCTTCTGGTTTAATTTGAGGGTATGAACATTTAAATTGGTGGAAGAGTTTAGGAATGACAGCTCTTTAGAGTAGCTGTCACCCCTTTTTCAAGGGACCAAAAGTAATTGGACAATTGAATCAAAAGCTGTTTCATGGCCAGTTGTGGGCTACTTCTTCATTATTTCTTCATCAATTAAGCAGGTAAAAGGTCTGGAGTTGATTCTAATTGTGGTATTTGCATTTGAAATCTATTGCTGTGAACCTACATCATGCATTTAAAGGAGCTGTCCATGCAAGTGAAACAGGCTATTGTAAGGCTTCAAAAACAAAAATCCATCAGAGTGCTAGCAGCAACATTAGGAGTGGCCAAATCAACAGTTTGGTACATTCTGAGGGAATAAGAACACACTGGTGAGCAACATAAAAAGGCATGGATGTCCACAGAAGACAACAGTGGTGGATGATCACTGGATCCTCTCTATGGTAAAAAAAAATCCATTCACAACATCCAGACAAGTGACAAGGATACACCCACCTCCTGGAGAGTGTTCTTC